GTGCTGAAAACCATGGGATTTCAATCCATGCTTAATTTATGAACTCGCCGGCCCAACGGGCCAGGGCGTGCTAGGATCTCCGGTAACAGGTGAACAGTATTTCTAGTTCGCGCGCGCGGGGCGGCCCCCAGGAGTCCCAGGGCGAAAAGTACCACGGCAGGTCCCCGGCAGGGTGGGGGCCAGAGATGCTGGACTTCCTGGGCGCGGCCCTGGAGGCCTCTGGAGCGCTCCAGGAGCGCTCCAAGGAGACGCCAAATACGTGGCAGGCCCAGCAGCCTGAAGCCAAGAGAGCCCCAAGACGGCCCAGATGGCCTCAAGACGGCCCAAGATGCTCCCAAGACGCCCCAAGATGCGTCCAAGAGACCTCCCAAGAGGCCCCCAAGAAGCCAAAATTGATGATTTTCATTGTTTTTTGAAGATTTTGGCGTTCTCGCCTCTTCGGCTTACTAGCGCTCCAAGACGGCCCAAAAAGCCCTCAATATCGCCCCCATACGGCCTACGATGGTTCAAGACCGTTCCGAAACGACCCCAGAGGGCCCTAAGAGACCCCCAGAAACCTCCAAGATGGCCCAAGATGCCCCCAAGACGGCTGCAAGACCGGGCCCCGACGGGGTACCAGAACGGACATTTCGCGCTCTAAGCCGCAAGACGTCCCCAGGAGACCTCATAACGCCCCCAAGAGGCCTCAAGACGGCCCAAGATGCTCCCAAGACGCCCAAGATGCATCCAAGAGACCTCCCAAGAGGCCCCCAAGAATCCAAAATTTATGATGTTCAGTGTTTTTCCCAACCATCCTGTGGTGTTGGGTCCTCGTTTTGAAGAGACGGTGCCCCGCGTTCTCCTTCCTTCCTCCCTCCCGCTGCCTCCTCCTTGCTGCCGCCCGCATGCGTCACGCACACCCAATTTGGCACACCCCTCACACGTTTCGTGGCCCCATAGGGAGCTCCACCGAAGGCCCCAGTGCTGCCGCCCGCATGCGTCACGCACACCCAATTCGGCACACCCCTCACACGTTTCGTGGCCCCATAGGGAGCTCCGCCGAAGGCCCCAGTGCTGCCGCCCGCATGCGTCACGCACACCCAATTCGGCACACCCCGCACACGCTTCGTGGCCCCATAGGGAGCTCCGCCGAAGGCCCCAGTGCTGCCGCCCGCATGCGTCCCGCACACCCAATTCGGCACACCCCTCACACGTTTCGTGGCCCCATAGGGAGCTCCGCCGAAGGCCCCAGTGCTGCCGCCCGCATGCGTCACGCACACCCAATTCGGCACACCCCTCACACGTTTCGTGGCCCCATAAGCTCCGCCGAAGGCCCCAGTGCTGCCGCCCGCATGCGTCACGCACACCCAATCGGCACACCCCTCACACGTTTCGTGGCCCCATAGGGAGCTCCGCCGAAGGCCCCAGCGCTGCCGCCCGCATGCGTCACGCACACCCAATTCGGCACACCCCTCACACGTTTCGTGGCCCCTCGGGAGCTGCACCGAAGGCCCCAGCGCTGCCGCCCGCGTGCGTCACGCACACCCACTTCGGCACACCCCTCACACGGTTCGTGGCCCCATAGGGAGCTCCGCCGAAGGCCCCAGTGCTGCCGCCCGCAGCGTCACGCACACCCAATTCGGCACACCCCTCAACACCTTCGTGGCCCCATAGGGAGCTCCGCGGAGGCCCCAGTGCTGCCGCCCGCATGCGCGCACACCCAATTCGGCACACCCCTCACACGTTTCGTGGCCCATAGGGGAGCTCGCCGAAGGTCCAGTGCTGCCGCGCGCATGCGTCACGCACACCCATTTCGGCTCACCCCTCACACGTTTCGTGGCCCATCGTGCTGCGCCGCATAGGCACACCCCTCAACCGTGGCCATAGGGAGCTCCGCCGAAGGCCCCAGGGCTGCCGCCCGCATGCGTCACGCACACCCAATTCGGCACACCCTCCACGTTTCGTGGCCCCATAGGGAGCTCCGCCGAAGGCCCCAGCGCTGCCGCCCGCATGCGTCACGCACACCCACTTCGGCACACCACACCCCTCACACGTTTCGTGGCCCCATAGGGAGCTCCACCGAAGGCCCAGCGCTGCCGCCCGCATGCGTCCCGCACACCCAATTCGGCACACCCCTCACACGTTTCGTGGCCCCATAGGGAGCTCCACCGAAGGCCCCAGGGCTGCCGCCCGCATGCGTCCCGCACACCCAATTCGGCACACCCCTCACACGCTTCGTGGCCCCATAGGGAGCTCCACCGAAGGCCCCAGCGGCCGCGCTCACATGCGTCCCCGCCACCCATCCCGGCACGCCCCTCACAACAACAGGTTTCGTGGCCCCATAGGGAGCTCCACCGAAGGCCCCAGTGGCACCGCCCGCATGCGTCACCACCCGCACCCAATTCGGCACACCCCTCACACGTTTCGTGGCCTCGTAGGGAGCTGCACCGAAGGCCCCAGTGGCGGCGCTCACAGTACACCCCTCGCGCGCTTCGTGGCTCCATAGGGAGCTCCACCGAAGGCCCCAGTAGCGGCGCTTACATGCGTCTCCGCCACCCATCCCGGCACCCCCCCCGCAGCAGCATCATGTTTCGGGGACCCATAGGGAGCTCCACTGGAGGCCCCAGTGGCGGCCCTCACATGCGTTTCCGCCACCCATGTCGGCACGCCCCGCGCGTGTTTCATGTCCCCATAGGGAGCTTCACCGAATGCCCCAGTGGCACCCATCTCGGCACACCCCTCACACGTTCCGTGGTCCTACGGGGAGTTCCTTTGAAGGTGAAGCCCGCAGCTGCGGTACTGACAACTGCATATGGTTGGGTTCTTCGCCAGGCTAATTTTGAGGATTTTGGCGTTCTCGCCTCTTCGGCTTACTAGCGCTTTAAGACGGCCCATAAAGCCCTCAATGTCGCCCCAATACGGCCTACGAGGGTTCAAGACCGTTCCGAAACGACCCCAGAGAGCCCTAAGAGACCCCCAGAAACCTCCAAGATGGCCCAAGATGCCCCCAAGACGGCTGCAAGACCGGGCCCCGACGGGGTACCGGAACGGACACTTCGCGCTCTAAGCCGCAAGACGTCCCCAGGAGACCTCATAACGCCCCCAAGAGGCCTCAAGACGGCCCAAGATGCTCCCAAGACGCCCCAAGATGCGTCCAAGAGACCTCCCAAGACGCCCCCAACAAGCCAAAATTGATGATTTTCATCGTTTTCTTGAAAATTTGTGGCGTTCTCGCCTCTTCGGCTTACTAGCGCTCCAAGACGGCCCACAAAGCCCTCAATATCGCCCCAATACGGCCTACGAGGGTTCAAGAGCGTTCCGAAACGACCCCAGAGAGCCCTAAGAGACTCCCAGAAACCTCCAAGATGGCCCTAGATGCCCCCAAGACGGCTCCGAGACCGGGCCCCGACAGGGTACAGGAACGGACATTTCGCGCTCTAAGCCGCAAGACGCCCCCAGGAGACCTCATAACGCCCCCAAGAGGCCCCCGAGAGGCCCCATGAGGCCCCCAACAGGCCCCAAGATGCGTCCAAGAGACCTCCCAAGAGGCCCCAACAAGCCAAAATTGATTTTTTGTTAAAAGGATTTTGGCGTTCTCGCCTCTTCGGCTTAATAGCGCTCCAAGACGCCCATAAAGCCCTCAATATCGCCCCAATACGGCCTACGGGGGTTCAAGACCGTTCCGAAACGACTCCAGAGAGCCCTAAGAGACACCCAAAAACCTCCAAGATGGCCCAAGATGCCTCCAAGACGGCTCCAAGACCGGGCCCCGACGGGGGACCGGCGCCACAAACCACTGAACAACCGCAAACGTCGAACCAACTACACCGGACTGGTGCACCCACCACCGAAAACAACGTCCCCCCCCCCATCAGCGCAGCATGGCTCACGGACGCGCAGCCAAACCCCAGCGATTACGCATTATCGGCCGGCGGAATCAGCGAAGCGATCAAATAATAAATTCGTGCATGGACTCCTCGTCATCTTTAATACTGACCCCCTGTACCTTTAATGCATGATCCGCACGCGGAGCATGCATGAAAAAACAGCACTGTGCCACGACGTGTTCTTAGAACCCAGACATGTCCTGGAAGCACAAGCAGTGTTCTCAGAACACAGACCCGCTGCGTGAAACCCCCGACGGTCTCGGCCAGCAAGAGACTCCGAGAGCATTCCGTGCAGACCACAGGAGGTTATGACTCGCATTGTGTGTGTGTGTGGTGGGCCTGGTGGGCCAGCCAGGACGCCTCGCAGCTGCTGGATAGAGAGAGAGAGAGAGAGAGAGCGAGAGAGAGAGAGAGAGAGAGTTTGCCGTCGCTCGGACGTCCATTTCCTGTGTTTTTTTTTCCGGCTTCGTGCGTGGCTTCTTCGCGAGAGGATCGAGGAAGCTCCTCGATGCTCCTCGCCGAAGGAAAAGTGCACACGTCCGAGCGATGCCAAGAGAGAAAGGGGAGACGGCGGACCGCTGGCGCGCATCCGGCAGGCAGGGCTCGCGCAGGCAGGCAGGGCCTCGCTGGCCGGCCTCCCGGGGGCGGCGGGGCAGACGGCCCGACCCCCCTCCAGCGTACACTTGAAGGGGCCCTGGGACACACAAATAAATACACACAAATGAAGAGATTCCACATATATTTCCCCATATGTTCTGGGTTTTTGTCTTCCCCTCCACGTCCCATATTTTCCCATCTTTTCTGGGAAATCGCCGATTCATTGTGTCTGTGTGTTTCTTTCCCTCGAGCGTACCTTGGCAACGCCCGACGCGTCGGAGGTTTTGTTCCGCGCGGCCTGCGGCGTCTCGAAGGGGGGGGGGGGCCTCGCCCGGCCACGAACGAGGGCTGGCAAGAACCGGGGGGGGGGGCTGGGGAGCTCCAGGGGCCCCGCACTGCACTGCACTGCAGACGGCGCCAGAGCTTCGGAGAGAGAGCCCGAATCAAAGCAAGCGGACATTTTGGTCGACGGGCCCCTGTGGCGGGGCTCCAACGGGCATTGCCTCGCTGCGGCCACGCGTCAGGCTGGAGTCGCAGTCAGAGGTCTCCGCACAGCGCGTGGAGGAACAGCACGGTGATGCCAGCAAACTGCGCGCCGTCTCCGCTGGCGCCCCAGGACACCCGGCTCGCTCTCCGCACGGTCGGTCTTGCTTTCGTGGGGCTGAACGTGTCCACAACTGTCCAGGCGGAGTCCTTCAGCGCGGCAAGCGCAGCGGACTGGTACGCTTCCTGCTGTGGCTGGCTCAGCCCCCAAGAGAACGAGCTCGCAGCATAGGCGTCATCGCTATCCCATTCGTGGTGAGCCTGCGACAGGACGAACAGGAGCTGTCCCTTCTTCGACACATCTTTCGTGTAGCCCTTGCTCAGGAGATGCTGCTGAACACGACGCTTTAGCTGGTCTTCGCTGCCCTCGAGCCCCGCATGAAAGAACGCGTGCGTCTCGACGACGATCACGTCGTTGGCCCCGAGGTGCTCTGGCAGACTGTCGATCTGACGCTCCTCCAGCTGCTTGACGTCCACGCCGTACCGGACCTCGAGATCCCGCCACACCACCGGCGGTGGGGCACCGCCCTTGACCCAGTGAAGCCTCCGGCCCTTCAGGCACTGCTGCACCTCCGCGGGGCGATGCCCGGGGGTGCGCCGGGGAGGGGGGCCGGGAGCAGGCGGGCGGGGTGCGCAGCGAGGCCCGAGGCGCGTGCGCGGACGAGGGGGGGGCAGAGCAACGCACAGCAGGGCAAGGCCGCCAGGCGCCCACACGGCGCACAGGAGGGTGAGTGAGGCCTCCGCACCGCACATGCGCGGAAGCTGCGCGAAGGGTGGGCGAGGACGACGGAGGACAGGAGAGACGCAGACATCAGCAGGACGCGCACCTGAGACACACACACACACACACACGGAGCCCCCAGTTGCTTCGGTCCCCCCGCGTAGAGGGAGGGCCAGCGAACATGGGTGGAAAAAAACGAAGAAGAAAACGAATAATAATAAAAATAACGATAATAATACTAATACTCAGAATAATAATAAGAAAAATATTAATAATAATAATAATAATACTAATACTAATCAGAATAATAATAATAAAAAAAAATAAATAAAAGGAAGAAGAAGAGGAGGGGGCCATGGAATCTACAAGACTTCAATCACCTGGCCATACTAGCACCCCCCCAAAAGTCCCCAGCCCCCTCCTGGGCGCCCCCGAAATACTCGCGATAGGAACACCCCCCCTCGCCACGCCACTGCAGGTTGGCCCTGGCTTCGGCCCGGCTGTCTGCATCCTCGAGGCTCGCGGCCGGGCACGCGCACGGCTTCGGCGAGCAGTCCGAGTCGACACCCTTCTGGCTCGAGCCGTTCCACACGTTGACGTCGAGATATCCCACCTTGAGCTCGGCGTACGAATCAATTGGGTACTCTCCTGTGCAAGGCCACTCCTTCGGGGGTGTCTTCCGGAAGTCGTTCCGGTGCGCGCAGAGGGGCCACTTGGTGCGAGGGACCTTTGCCCTGTCCAGTCGGTCTGGTGTGTCCTCGCACTCGGGTCCCGCGGATTCCCACCAACCACGCGACATGAGGCCAGCGCCACACTGCTTCGACTCGTCTCTCAAGAGGCTGTTCCCACCGAGATCGGAGCTGCTGCTGCTGCTGCTCACAATCACCTGTGCGGGGGAGCCAGAGACGTGCGACAGCTTCCGGCACTTCCCGCGCTCGGCCACGTCGCTGGAGACCGAGAGCCCACCAAGGTATCTCTCCCGACTCAGGCCCGCGCACGAGTACGCTGATGCGCCAGCGGGCGCGGCAGTGCCGCGCGCCACCCAGGCGACCTTGTGCTCAAACGGGCGCCCATAGCTCCGGCGACCGCTCGGGGGTCCGCTGGCGTGTGCGGCCTTCCCCCCCTCTCCACGGGGCCACAATGCCAGACTCGAACCAGGGGGCTGGGTGAGGGTACCATAGGGAGGCGCCCGAGCGGGGAACTTCCCTTAGAGTCACTGTTCAAGCCGTTGTTGCAAGCCACAACATGCCGCCTTGGCAGCCCGATGGAACCACAGGGCAGCGGAAGAGGTCCCGGGACGCCCCACGTGAGAGCCCAGGCAGCCCAAGATCGATGACAGATGCGCAGCCTGACAATGGTGTTCTGCTTTGCTCGAGTGGCAAATCAAGATGGCCTCAAGAGTGCTCCAGAGAACCGCAAGACAAGCCAAGCGAGGCTCAAGAAGTTCCCAGACTTCCCAGAAGGCTCCCAAGAGGACCCCAACAAGGCCAAAGGGGGTCTCTGAAGGGGCCCAAGACGGCCCAAGATGGCCCCTGAGGGCCCGAAAACGGACACGGACCAAGAGAGACCACACATGCCTACGACCACAACACACTCTCAAAGGACCCCTACAACGACCGAAAACGGTCCAGGAAGGCCCCAAGAGGACATCCACAGGGACCCAACAGTAGTTGCACAGTGCTCCGCTCCCATTCCTCCTCTCTCTCCCCTCCTCTCGTGCCTCCCCTGCTTCTCCTCGTCATCTTCCTATCCTACTGTTCTGTTCCCCTGCCTTCCTTGATCAACGCCCGCAGGGGCCAACTGCAACATCCAGCCAGGGGTCGGTGAATGCGACGTCGGCCACACGAATTTCCCTGCCTTCCTGAACGACGAAACGATCCGCGAAGAAGCTGTGGCGGCACCACGTGCACCAGTCCGCCCAGCGGCCGTTCTGCTCGATGCTCGTGTAGAAGGGAGCCTGCCCCCTGGAAGGCACCTCGCCCCGAAGACTCTGCGGCAACGACAGGGGCGCGCCTGCGGTCTGACTGCTTGGCGTGCACTGTTCGTGCGACGTTGAGTCAAGGCCCCACGAGCCTCCCTCGTGGTACCACAACAGTGTCACCTCTAACCTGTACGTCCCTTCTCTCGGAGCGCGGAGCGGGACCTCCCACGCACACGCTCTCGCAACCGGAACTGGCTCCAAGCCCACAATCACTTTCTCCGACACGAGCCGTGCGGCAAGGGTGATTTCGGTTGAGTTGCAAGCGCCACCACCGTCTACCCGGGCAGTCGCGCCCGGTCCATCCTTGCCTGCCTGCAGGTTAAGACCTGCCGGCAGAGAAAGCTTGGGCTGCAGACCAAACGCCTCGTGCACGAAGACCATGCCGCACTCCTCGAGCTGAGGCGCCGCATCGAGCTCCGCACGATCGTACGCCTCCGCTGGCCGCTGGAGCTTGATCGCAGAGGTCAGCGCCGCGCCGAGCGCCACGTAGGCGGCAAGCCAGTGCGCTGCGCCGCCTGCAGCCATGGAGGTCCGCCGCCGTGTCCCCTGGCATCGCTCGAACGTCCATTCCCTGTGCTTTTTGTCGGTTTCGTGCGTGTTTTTTTTGGGGGGCCAAATGATCAAGGATGCTCCTCGATGGTCATCGCCGAAGGAAAAATGCACACGTCCGAGCGATGCCAAGGTTCTGCGGCAGGGCAGCAGGCCTGGGCGTGTGAGACTGCCTCTCCGGGGCCCCGGAGCGGTGCGAGGACAGACCGTGCGGTGACCTCGGCATCCCCGGCGACCTCTCCGCACGGTCCGCCACCGCACGATGCTGGCACACTGCAGGCCCCTGGTCGCCCGAGACGCCCTCGGAGAACGACCCGAGTCCCAACACCGTGCGGTCACCCGGGATCCCCACCGACTCACCACACGGTGCGGTCACCGCTCCTTCTGGGGCCACCTCGGCTCCTCTGCTGTCTGGCAGGGTGTCTGCCACTTTCTGGGGGCGCTGTCCCTCTCATCGCATGCTCCCCAGGTAGATGCCTTCGCGCCACAAACCTCTCGGGCCACCGCGCGGGCAAACGTGGCCCAAGAGGCGCGTGGCGCCTCCGACACTGCCTGAAACAGCTACGGCAGGTTCGTGCCGTGTCGACCTGGGCGTTGGTCCCTGACGCCGCGAGGATCGTTCAACCTTGAACGATCGGCCGTCTCCGCAACGTCCGATCGTTCAACATCGACCGATTCTGGGCCGCCGTCGGCGTTCAACCTTGAACGTCCGCGCTGGGGTCGCCGCTGGTCGACACGACGCGAACCTACCGTAAGAAGTGACATCTCCACTGGTCAAGGATGCGATGCCGCACGGATGCTGCTGGACGCCCGAGCTCGTCGGGGCAGCTCTGGTCGGGGTGTGGCGGGTCTGGTGCGGGCCCCCGACGCTCGAGCCGAGAGCTGCTCCTGAGCACCACCTGACGGTTCGGGAATGGCGGAGTGCCCCGTGCTGTCTGGGATAACTCTGGTGGGGGGGGACACTTCAGTCTGGGCCACCGGGGAACGAATCGTGAGCTACCCCTGACCACCCCCATGATCTGGAGCTCTGCCTCATGTGGTGCCGCACGGATGCCGGGCGACTCGGCCTCTGGAGGCCATGCGCTGCCGAGCTCAGGCAAGCGCTCTGCGGAGCAGGAGCGGAGGAGAACACGGAGGAGGACTGGAGGGACAGGTGCCTCCGTCCCCGACTGGACGGCTCCACTTTCCAAAAGGAGGTTCGTGTCGTGACGACCCCAGCATCGGCTCCTGACACCGCGTGGACTGTTCAACCTTGAACGATCGGCGGCGTTTCGATCGCCAGATCGCTCCATATCGGCCGATCCTGTGCCACTGGTCACGTTCAACCTTGGACGCCCGCTGCGGGGTCGCTGCGCGTCGACACGACGCGAGCCAGCCGCACATTGGCCCCCGGCCCCAGCGTGAGAAAAAAAACAAAAAAAAAAAGGCCGCCCAAGGACAGCTGACACAGAGCCTCGAAACGCGTCCAGGCGGCCCTCGCACACCAGCCTGCGGAAGCACACGGACCGCCTAACGGCCAAAGCATGCTCCCGAGAAGGAATGGGAGGCCCCAAGAGGTCCGCGTGATAAGCTCCCCGGGGTCGGCCAAAAACGCCTCCAGCGAGATCCTGAGAGGCCGAAGCCTTTCAGCTGGGTATGGCCTCGGGATGGCTCCAGAGAAGCCCAATTAGCACACAAGACGGCCTCAAAAGGAAACAGCCCGAATGCAATCCTTAACTTCAAAAACAAAGTCTTGTTTGATGTTTTCTTGGTTTCAAAAGACACCTTTTTTGTTTTCAACAACAAAAAATGAAGAATTTCGAAGCACTCTGCAAAAAGTACAACCGTTTTCCCCCAATTCAAAAAAGGGCTTGGGGAATTAAACAACGTTTTGTGAATGTTAAAAACTGCTTCCTGACCTCAAAGACCAAGTTACTGAATTCAAGAACGACGTTCAGAATTAAAGCACGGTTTGAATTTAAACAGTCCCTGGAATTGGAGTAATGCCTGTTTGTATTCAAGGACTGGGTCTTGAATTCGCACACATTTTTTGAATTCGATAAACCAATTTGAAGGGGCCCCGGGACACACACACACACATATAAATACACACAGATAAAAAAAGGCCCCCATATTCTCCCATATGTTCTGGGTTTGTGTCTTCCCCCCACTTCCTATGTTTCCGGCATTTTCTGGGAATTCGACGATTGACCCCAAAGGGGCTTAAAAAAAACCCTGGGCAATGATGGGAAAATTAAATCATTCTCCACCGGCTTATTGACGGATTGGGACCCCGACAATACTTGGAAATGAATTATTCTCGTCGGCGGATGCATGAGAGGTCATGAGAAGTGCTCAACAATTCTCATCGCTCAACGCCTCGTCGTCGTCCTCGTCGTCGTCCTCCCTCCTCCTCGAGTCTACGAAACGGAACCCAGAACAGGGGGGGAGGAGGAGGAGGAGAAGAGGGAGGGGGAGGAGGAGGAGGAGGCGGAGGAGGAGGAGGAGGAGGAGGAGAGGAGGAGGAGGAGGAGGAGGAGGAGGAGGAGGAGGAGGAGGAGGAGGGGGAGGGGGAGGAGGAGGAGGAGGATGGGGAGGAGGAGGAGGAGGACGGAGGAGGGAGGAGGAGGCAGGAGGAGGGGAGGGGGAAGGAGGAGGAGGAGGGACGAGTTTCTACTCCCCGCCGAGAGCTTAGGGGGGGGGCATCATTGAAGACCCTCTGCGGTTATGTGTGCCTGCGTGTTTTTGTCCCTCTTGACGGTGTTCCGTTCCAAACAACCTCCAAAAACAGGCTCCCCAATGCGATTGGCGCCGCTCGGGGCGGCCACGCACAGCCTCGCTGCTCAAAGCCCACGGCACCCCTCCCGCTACTCAAAGCCCAAGACACCCCCACAATAGAGAGGAGAACAACACGCCCTCCTCCTCCTCTCCCTCCTCTCCCTCCTCCTCCTCCTCCTCCTCCTCCTCCTCCTCCTACCTCCTCCTCCCTCCTCCTCCTCCT